TATGACCAAAATATTTCAGCTTCCGAGACAAGTTGCTGTTTATTAGCTAATCTTCCTTGATGTTCAGATCTGTTAAAATTTCACTTTTTCTTCAGATTACTTAAGCCACCCCTTGTCAAGTGATTCACTGAGAAAGGATAGTGATAAGGTTGATACTGTTGATGGGATGTGTGAACTATGATCCAGTGAAATGCTGATTTAATTGGGACCTGTGTCTGGATAAAAGTGAAAGATCAACCAACAAAAGCCACAAAACCCAATCCATCATCGCTTAATACTTTACCCAGGTAAACCCACTATTCTCTCTGCCAGTGACTTCATCAACTCTGAAAGCAGTGACAATAGGTCACACGCCTTAGAAGCCAGCTGACTCCACCACCTTGGCATCAAGTGGGCTGTTGCGTGTCGATTCGGGGGTATCAACATTGTTTATGTTAATTTAGTACAGGCTTAGTTGACTGGGGATCCACGAGGGGATTGACACGGCCTGAGTCAATATTTGGGTCTTTGTTGTCTTAGGACCGGAGCTGTTAGCGCGGCCTGAGTCAATAGTTTGAGTCTGTATTGGCCTAGGACCGGAGTTGACCAGTGGACTCACAAGGTGTCAATCGACCTGGGTAAAGAGTCATACCTAGTTCGTGCGTATCAGGGCTGGTATGAGGGGAAAATGTGCATGCGTGTGGGTGCCTCAATTATTATGGAGGACTCACTGAGAACACTGGCATGTAGATATTGCAGAGAAGTTAAGAGAGCAGAGCACAGCATCGTCGAGAAGAATCAAGTAGAGAAGAGCTCTGTGAGAAAACTTGCCTTGGGGGACGACGCGTGTGGCGGTCATGTTCAATATTGAAAGAAGGCAGCTATTCTACTTCCGAAAAGGAATCTCGTAGATGTCGGCATCGGTCGTATGCTAAGGGGATAGAGTTCGAAGTTCTGCCGGTCATCTTAGAATTTATCGACGTGGCTGATTTGCGTGTACATATTGGGAGCTTAAGGAGTATAGATTCTCAGTCAGCTGATGTAAAAGTGCCTGCTACGAGTATAACAACGGAGGTCAGCTGTTCATTCTTACTGCTAGCCCTGACGCGAAGAATAGCCAGCGACCGAGGCACTCAAGAAGTGAGCTCCAGAGTCTGATCGACAGCTAGCTATAAGCTGTATTATGGAGCGCCGCTAGGACTGTTCTGGGGAGTATGAAGCGTAATGAGTTTAATTCTATTTTAGTCAGCGCATGGACATACATGACGTTGCTTCATTACATAGACTGTGTGCGGGTTGGTAGACCCGAACGTTTTTGTGAATAAACACATGAAGGACAACTGTTGTTGAGTTTTCCTGACACTATGCTCGTGGGTTGTGTGCAACAGTTTGGCGCGAGTGGTAACAGAGTTCGAGCGCAAGTCAAATCCTAGACACTTGACTATATTTTTGTATGTTGTAACAAGACCAATGCGGCATACTACATGGGTCAAACCTTAGGTGTTGCCACAGCCGATCGCTATCAGCCTACCCAGACCACTATTTGTAACTTCTAAAAGTGCCAATTACATGTGTTTCTGCCAGTGACACTGACTGTAAAAACTGGGCAGTGAATTATTCAGATATTAGTGTGAAGTGTTCCAGCTGATTATCCAGACAAATAGACGTGGACTGAAAAGAGGAGCTGTTCGCTCCTTCATCGCACCTGAAATGATAAGTATCATTGACCCCAAGTACAGCCAACCGCTCGATTCATGCCATAAGTTTACAATACCCTTATTCATCTTTGGTGCAACAATGAATGAATGAATGATCATTTATTCATTCATTTATTTAGTCACTGAAACCTAATCTCCAACAAACTCTATCAAATATCAAACACTACGTCTATCCAAGTTCTCTAGTCGACTCTCTTATTCCGCTTAGCGAACCTCTTTTGCTCCGCATTAGTGATCGTTTCTCTGTCAACGATTCTTCCCTGTAATCGCTAAACGAATATTCTGACCGTTGATCATGGTTTGTTCTGTGAATACATAGTACTTGTCAACCAGTCACTTTCATGCTACGCACATACACATAGCCACACAAAACCCTGGCACTGTCTATTCTGGAAAAAACAAAACCCAGCCTAACATAGACTGCAGTCCAGTTGCATACAGGCATTACATGCATAGGATAAGGTCAACATCTAAAGTACCAGCACAATCAGGGACATGTTGTGACCACCGGAAAGAACGTAGAAGAGACAGTTCTTGATAACCTTTTGTGATTGTATGGAGAGGTGTTGGCATACAAACTGGTGCTGTCGAAGATTGCCGATTGTGGAGAGCCATGATGACCAAAGCCAGCTTACAAGACGCTTGATAATGATTATGATGACTCTATTGTGTCTTCAAGGGAATGTACTCTGGATATGTTCTCCCACGACAAGAGTTAGGAAAGATGGTTTCCGCTGTTTTCAAACAACAACTTGTCCCGACATGAATCTCTCTCCTGGTTCTGCCGGACTTTTCATGTTTCTCTCGCCTTAGGTTCGCCGACAGGTCACACTGTTGGCTCCTTTTTTTAAATACTGGAAATTACCTCCCAACAGGTAAATAAATATCTTTACCAATAAGTGAGTTAAAAAAAAAAAAACACTGAAGATTTCACACAGAATGAGAATCGGAAAAAACACCATCATGACTTAGAGTTAGAGTCTGAACCTTGAATGTATCCTAATCTTATCCAATATCTCCCCCCAAACAGAGTCGAATATTAAAAAAAATTGTTTACAATAATTTTAGGTGGTGGTAGATAGGCTGCATGCAGGGGTGGGACCTATACTTCATGTAGTGGTGGTATCTAGGCTGCACTCTCTCGTAGGACGGTGTGTCACGGTGGGTGGGTTGGAGTTAGGCCCAGCTGAACTTCTTCTTCATGACGTTCACGTAACTCTGGCGGAAAGTTCTCGTTGTTCGTCCACTTCTGAACTACAGTCCTATTCAAGGGCCTAAATGTTGCACGAGCACCCGTTTTATAGGTCTGACTCATTTGTATGCAGACTGTTGGTTCCTTGCCTCTGAGGCATATGCACTCCAGACTTTGAAGGAAGCTCCAGGTTAGTCATCTCTTACAACATGCTTTTTGTTCCCGTGGGGCAGTGGGTCTTGACTGAACTGAAGTAGATGGACAACAAACAGCACCTGAATAACGTAGACTATAGACAGACCATTGGTAGACCACATTTAATTTAATTAATTAAAATAATTACAGTTAAATGTATGCTTTAATTTTGACAGATATCTGTTCGGCCAGTATCTTCTTGTTGCCTTGTATGTCACTCATATCTTAATAATCTTATCCTTATCTTTTCTTAAGAATTTCAGGTAAATTTTGAAATTAAAATCGAGAGATCTGCTAGTAATAGTTAGGCATACTTGAGAAGTTTTATATATTTGGTTTTTACTTATGAAACTGTCACAGTGGATAGAGATTAAAATATCCAATCCAACGATACCTCAGTTAAACCTAAAAATAAGTTCTAAGTCAAGATGTTAACATTTTAGTAGCGTATTCCCACCATGGACAAATTATAGTTGAATCTGATTGAAGATGTATGCTGAGTTGTGTTCCAGGAAGAAATGTCTAAATGTTTGCATTTTATGGCAATAACTACTTTGTTTTCTGACTAATCCCTTATTAGCCCTATAAAGTTTACCCAGAGTCACAGTGTGGCTTTTGTGGGAACTGGTCTACTACCGATAGGATATTTTCTGCTCTGCATGCTGAAGAAGATTGGTTGTTCATCTACCCTGTTGAATATTACTGAGTCGTTCCACACAGGTATGAAAGGTACAATCAACATTGACGGTGTAATATTGGAGAAGCTTGTAATCAACAATGGCGCGAAGCAGGCATGTGTACTTTCTGATGTCCTCTTTGTAATATACGGGCCTTTTCAAAATGAGGAGGGTGGTATATTCATTCTCGATTCTGATGGCAGCCTTTACAATGCTCGCAGGCTGACGGTGAAAACCAGGATAAGAAAGGTTGTTATCAGAGATCTGCTGTTTGCAGATGATGTCACAATTACCTCCCACTCAGAGGAGGAGCTGCAATGTTTACTATCTGCATTAACTGATGCATTCTGTGAATTTGAACTAACAATCAGCAAAAAGAGGACAAAGGTTATGGTGCAAGATGTTAGTGATATACTTGCAGTCTACATTGAGGGTGAAGAGTTTGAGACAGTTGACCATTTTACAGATCTGGGATCCGCAGTAAATAATAAACTATCACTGTATCAAGAAATCAACATCAGGATAGGTAAGGCAGCAACAACAATGAGCAGATTAACAAAAAGAGTACGGGAGAACAGAAAGCTCATGATCAAAACAAAAACCCTTGTCTATCAGGCTTGTCTTCTCAGCACTCTGCTTTATGGTAGTGACATTTTGTCACCTTATTTGCACCAGGAGAAGTGGCGTTATGGCTTTCACATGCGATGCCTAAGAAGAATAGTAGTTCGCTCATGCATGATGAATGGCTCAATGAAAATGCTAAAGAAAATCCAGGCTGGGCTCACCATCACAAGAACAGATTGCATCAATAAGTATGTCACAAATGCCTAGCTTAAACTTAATCTTTCTTGCTGGTATTCAAGGTAACAAGAACCCAAATTATTTTGCAGACATTGCGGTTGGTATGCTGGTCTGGTACCTGACAGAAACAATGTAATGAATGCCATGTACAGCACATGTCGCGAAGATGAATACAACAAAAGCATGATTCCGTATCCCTGAATAGACGGATGGACATGGGGATAAAATCTGGAGCAGCAAGAAATGAACTTTTTACCAAGGAGACAAGACCTTTAATAATCAGTACAGAGCAGACCTCAACGGTCATTTTATACGTTTGAAGAGCAGATTGGAGTACCCATGAATCTGTCCTGAATGCTGGGATAATATCCTCGCTCATTAACTCATTATCATTGTGTATAATTTTCTTTAAATTTCAGGTTCGGAGAGAGGCCAGTCATGGCAGCAACAAACGCTACGACCGCTCAGGCCCAGCACAAGTTCAGCAACCTCCGCCGCCGGCTGGATCAGCTGGGCTATCGACAGCCTCTGGGAATAGAGTCGCTGCCCCTGGTTGAGAAGCTGTTTGCCGATTTGATCCACACCACCGAGAGTTTGAAAAATGCCAAACTTGAGCTCTCAAAAAAGGTGCCAGGACAGAATACTTTCTTTGTATTGGTTGACACTTTTGTTTGTTTGATGCAGATAACTTTTTGATTTATTTTGTTTGCAGATTGAAAATGTTTGTGTTGGTTCTGTTTGATGCAGAGAACATTTTTATTTGTTTTATTTGACACAGAGAACATTTTTGTTTGTTTGGTGATAAAGTAATCACAGCAGCTACAAGCAGGTGATATAAATGATGGTGATAATCACAGCAGCTACAAGCAGGTGATATAAATGATGATGATAAAGTAATCACAGCAGCTACAAGCAGGTGATATAAATGATGGTGATAATCACAGCAGCTACAAGCAGGTGATATAAATGATGGTAATAATAACAGCAGCTACAAGCAGGTGATATAAATGATGGTGATAATCACAGCAGCTACAAGCAGATGATATAAATGATGATGATAAAGTAATCACAGCAGCTACAAGCAGGTGATATAAATGATGGTGATAATCACAGCAGCTACAAGCAGGTGATATAAATGATGGTAATAATCACAGCAGCTACAAGCAGGTGATATAAATGATGGTGATAAAGTAATCACAGCAGCTACAAGCAGGTGATATAAATGATGATGATAAAGTAATCACAGCAGCTACAAGCAGGTGATATAAATGATGGTGATAATCACAGCAGCTACAAGCAGGTGATATAAATGATGGTAATAATCACAGCAGCTACAAGCAGGTGATATAAATGATGATGATAAAGTAATCACAGCAGCTACAAGCAGGTGATATAAATGATGGTGATAATCACAGCAGCTACAAGCAGGTGATATAAATGATGGTAATAATCACAGCAGCTACAAGCAGGTGATATAAATGATGGTGATAAAGTAATCACAGCAGCTACAAGCAGGTGATATAAATGATGGTAATAATCACAGCAGCTACAAGCAGGTGATATAAATGATGGTGATAAAGTAATCACAGCAGCTACAAGCAGGTGATATAAATGATGATGATAAAGTAATCACAGCAGCTACAAGCAGGTGATATAAATGATGGTGATAATCACAGCAGCTACAAGCAGGTGATATAAATGATGGTAATAATCACAGCAGCTACAAGCAGGTGATATAAATGATGGTGATAATCACAGCAGCTACAAGCAGGTGATATAAATGATGGTGATAACATAATCACAGCAGCTACAAGCAGGTGATATAAATGATGGTGATAATCACAGCAGCTACAAGCAGGTGATATAAATGATGGTGATAATCACAGCAGCTACAAGCAGGTGATATAAATGATGGTGATAATCACAGCAGCTACAAGCAGGTGATATAAATGATGGTGATAATCACAGCAGCTACAAGCAGATGATATAAATTATGGTAATAATCACAGCAGCTACAAGCAGGTGATATAAATGATGGTAATAATCACAGCAGCTACAAGCAGGTGATATAAATGATGGTGATAATCACAGCAGCTACAAGCAGGTGATATAAATGATGGTAATAATCACAGCAGCTACAAGCAGGTGATATAAATGATGGTAATAATCACAGCAGCTACAAGCAGGTGATATAAATGATGGTAATAATCACAGCAGCTACAAGCAGGTGATATAAATGATGGTAATAATCACAGCAGCTACAAGCAGGTGATATAAATGATGGTGATAACATAATCACAGCAGCTACAAGCAGGTGATATAAATGATGGTGATAATCACAGCAGCTACAAGCAGGTGATATAAATGATGGTGATAATCACAGCAGCTACAAGCAGGTGATATAAATGATGGTAATAATCACAGCAGCTACAAGCAGGTGATATAAATGATGGTAATAATCACAGCAGCTACAAGCAGGTGATATAAATGATGGTGATAAAGTAATCACAGCAGCTACAAGCAGGTGATATAAATGATGGTGATAATCACAGCAGCTACAAGCAGGTGATATAAATGATGGTGATAACATAATCACAGCAGCTACAAGCAGGTGATATAAATGATGGTGATAATCACAGCAGCTACAAGCAGGTGATATAAATGATTGTGATAATCACAGCAGCTACAAGCAGGTGATATAAATGATGGTGATAAAGTAATCACAGCAGCTACAAGCAGGTGATATAAATGATGGTGATAATCACAGCAGCTACAAGCAGGTGATATAAATGATTGTGATAATCACAACAGCTAGAAGCAGGTGATATAAATGAATGTGATAATCACAGCAGCTACAAGCAGGTGATATAAATGATGGTGATAATCACAGCAGCTACAAGCAGGTGAACGAACGAACGAACGAAGTTTATTTTCAAAGGGTCACAAATTGGGCACGCAGGCCCGTCTTACATTCAGCCCTTCCAGTCAACCATCTTTCGCACAGCAGTTGTATAAGCAGGTGATATAAATGATTGTGATAATCACAGCATCTACAAGCAGGTGATATAAATGATTGTGATAATCACAGCAGCTACAAGCAGGTGATATAAATGATTGTGATAATCACAGCAGCTACAAGCAGGTGATATAAATGATTGTGATAATCACAGCAGCTACAAGCAGGTGATATAAATGATTGTGATAATCACAGCAGCTACAAGCAGGTGATATAAATGATTATGATAAAGTAATCACAGCAGCTACAAGCAGGTGATATAAATGATGGTGATAACATAATCACAGCAGCTACAAGCAGGTGATATAAAGGATGGTGATAAAGTAATCACAGCAGCTACAAGCAGGTGATATAAATGATTGTGATAAAGTAATCACAGCAGCTACAAGCAGGTGATATAAATGATTGTGATAAAGTAATCACAGCAGCTACAAGCAGGTGATATAAATGATTATGATAAAGTAATCACAGCAGCTACAAGCAGGTGATATAAATGATTGTGATAAAGTAATCACAGCAGCTACAAGCAGGTGATATAAATGATTGTGATAAAGTAATCACAGCAGCTACAAGCAAGTGATATAAATGATTGTGATAAAGTAATCACAGCAGCTACAAGCAGGTTATATAAATGATTGTGATAAAGTAATCACAGCAGCTACAAGCAGGTGATATAAATGATTGTGATAATCACAGCAGCTACAAGCAGGTGATATAAATGATTGTGATAATCACAGCAGCTACAAGCAGGTGATATAAATTATGGTAATAATCACAGCAGCTACAAGCAGGTGATATAAATGATGGTGATAATCACAGAAGCTGCAAGCAGGTGATATAAATGATTGTGATAAAGTAATCACAGAAGCTGCAAGCAGGTGATACAAATGATTATGATAAAGTAATCACAGCAGCTACAAGCAGGTGATATAAATGATGGTGATAAAGTAATCACAGCAGCTATAAACAGGTTAAGTGAACAATGTTGAGATCATACATCTCAAGTTACCGTGGCAACTTATGAATGTGAGTCGTGGTCTCTAACTCAATTACTGGAGAGAAATATTGGAGTTTTTGAACTGAAAAATTATTCGAATACCTTGGACCAAGAAGAAGACAAACACCCACTTCCGACATGATCTGAGAGTCGAGGAGAATTGGCTCATAAAAATCCTGTTTCGTAAGCTGAGGTATTTTGGCCATGTTAAACGTCACGGTGACCTGGAGAAAACGATGACAGTAAATATGTTCTGTAAAATAAGGCAGTGGCACACCTCCACGAATATGGGCTTTCAAGATGCATAGGTTATGAAAGCACATAGGGCTGGAGAATCAGCTACAGAGAGACTTCCAGCCGTGATGAGAGCGACATTTTGTAAAGACCCTGCTGATTGGTGGTGAACTAATGCATGACAAGCTGGGTGTTGTAAGGGTCCTTGGGGAGTGGAATAACAGGGCAGAGGTACAAATACGTCACCACAGTCTCAGGAGATTGGTGCTGTGAGGAGTAACCAGGTGATGTGGCTGATGGTCAGCACTCAAGCTGTCAGGAGTAACCAGGGGATGTGGCTGATGGTCAGCACTCAAGCTGTCAGGTGTAACCAGGGGATGTTGCTGATGGTCAGCACTCAAGCTGTCAGGAGTAACCAGGGGATGTGGCTGATGGTCAGCACTCAAGCTGTCAGGAGTAACCAGGGGATGTGGCTGATGGTCAGCACTCAAGCTGTCAGGTGATGTGGCTGATGGTCAGCACTCAAGCTGTCAGGTGATGTGGCTGATGGTCAGCACTCAAGCTGTCAGGTGATGTGGCTGATGGTCAGCACTCAAGCTGTCAGGTGATGTGGCTGATGGTCAGCACTCAAGCTGTCAGGTGATGTGGCTGATGGTCAGCACTCAAGCTGTCAGGAGTAACCAGGGGATCTGGCTGATGGTCAGCACTCAAGCTGTCAGGAGTAACCAGGTGATGTGGCTGATGGTCAGCACTCAAGCTGTCAGGAGTAACCAGGGGATCTGGCTGATGGTCAGCACTCAAGCTGTCAGGAGTAACCAGGGGATGTGGCTGATGGTCAGCACTCAAGCTGTCAGGAGTAACCAGGGGATCTGGCTGATGGTCAGCACTCAAGCTGTCAGGAGTAACCAGGGGATGTGGCTGATGGTCAGCACTCAAGCTGTCAGGAGTAACCAGGGGATCTGGCTGATGGTCAGCACTCAAGGAAAAGGTGAGAGGGACATACAGTCTGTTACTGGTGCCACCTGAATTGAAACTCTGCGTCTGCTACTAACGATGGGGATAGAGCGTTTGTGGCAACGTCCTGAGTACTGTGAAAGCAACATTTTTATTTGACACTAGCAAAACACATAATTATTAAAAGAGAGGAATCTTTGATTCATCATGGGGGTATGTTTCTCTTGCAGACTGAGATTAGCACAGATGTGGATTCGGCTGTGGAGGCCTACAAGATTGACAATGCCAAGTTGATCAAGGAGAACAATGAGCTTCACCTGGCTCTGATCAAGCAGAAGGAGGAAGCCGACACAGTTATCAGAGGTTGGTGAAGGTACTCTGTCGACTAGCTTCACTTGTCTCTATGTTACAGTTACAGAGATGACAGAATGTAGTTTGTTGACTAGTTAAGTGAGTGTAGTCTTTTGACTATTTTCAGTTGAGTGAATGTAGCCTAGTTCCAGTTGAGTGAATGTAGCCTAGTTCCAGTTGAGTGGATGTAGTGTTGACTAATTCTAGTTGAGTGAATGTAGCCTAGTTCCAGTTGAGTGAATGTAGCCTAGTTCCAGTTGAGTGGATGTAGTGTTGACTAATTCTAGTTGAGTGAATGTAGCCTAGTTCCAGTTAAGTGAATGTAGCTTAGTTGCAGTTGAGTGAATGTAGCCTAGTTCCAGTTGAGTGAATGTAGCCTAGTTCCAGTTGAGTGAATGTAGCTTAGTTCCAGTTGAGTGAATGTAGCCTAGCTCCAGTTGGGTGGATGTAGTGTTGACTAATTCCAGTTGGGTGAGTGTAGTATGTTGACTAGTTCCAGTTGAGTGAATGTAGCCTAGTTCCAGTTGGGTGGATGTAGCCTAGTTCCAGTTGAGTGAATGTAGCCTAGTTCCAGTTGAGTGAATGTAGCTTAGTTCCAGTTGAATGAATGTAGCCTAGTTCCAGTTGGGTGGATGTAGTGTTGACTAATTCCAGTTGGGTGAGTGTAGTATGTTGACTAGTTCCAGTTGAGTGAATGTAGCCTAGTTCCAGTTGGGTGGATATAGCCTAGTTCCAGTTGAGTGAATGTAGCCTAGTTCCAGTTGGGTGGATGTAGTTTGTTGACTAGTTCCAGTTGGGTGAGTTTAGTATGTTGACTAGTTCCAGTTGAGTGAATGTAGCCTAGTTCCAGTTGAGTGAATGTAGCCTAGTTCAAGTTGGGGGGATGTCATGTGTTGACTAGTTCCATTTGGATGACTATAGTCTGATGACTGGTTCCAGTTGGGTGAATGTAGCTTGTTGACTAGTTCCAGTTGGGTGAGTGCAGTATGTTGACTAGTTCCAGTTGGGTGAATGTAGTCTAGTTCCAGCTGGATGATTTATCTATATGTTACAGATGTGTTGACAGAATGTAGAGATTGCAACACTGTAGGCTCCAGTGGGCACATAAAGTCTGCTTTCATTCTCATCACACATAGTCTTGTTTTTTTTTGTCTGCTTGCATAGTCTTGTTTCCGTCTCGTACCAGTCTTTTTTGCTGACCAAACGCAGTCTTGCCTCTGTCTTGTACCAGTATTTTTTTGCTGATCAAACAGTCATCAACAGTGACTAATTAAGAGTTTGCTGGAATTAGATATCATTTTGTTATTATCTATCACAAGTGTTAAGTTGAGGCATAAATATCTTGTTCTTGTTATCCATTACAGGAGTTGAGGCACAAATATCTTCTTGTTGTTATCCATCACAAGTTTTGAGTCAAGGAACAAATATCTTGTTGTTATCTTTCTCAGACTGACTGTATGGAAGTGTTTAAGCTTTTTCCCTGACATCTGTATAAAGTCCATGTTTCACAAGCATATAGCAGCGCTAACAAATACCAAAGCCAAGCTGTAAATGACAGAACAAGTGCTCTTTTAAAGCAGAACACGGAAGAATAAGAATCCTTTTTTTTTTCTGCCTGATCATATATGGTCTTCTTTTTGTTCTGTCATACATAGTTCTGTGTCTGCCCTATCACATATGGTCTTCTTTTTTGTTCTGTCACATATAGTTCTGTGTCTGCCCTATCACATATGGTCTTCTTTTTTGTTCTGTCACATATAGTTCTGTTTCTGCCAAATCACATATAGTCTTCTTTTAGTTGTCACATATAGTTCTCACATATAGTTCTGTTTCTACCTTATAGCATATGGTTTTCTTTTTGTTCTGTCACATATGGTTCTAATTCTGCCTTTTCACATATGGTCTTTTTTTCATTATGTCACATATAGTTCTGTTTCTGCCTCTTCACATGTGCTCTTCAATTAGTTTTTGACATAATTTGTAGATATTTTCTCCTGGTTTATTCTCCAGAGCTGAAAGCCTCAATGCGAGACCTGGAACACAAGACAGCAGATCTCCAGTTCTTGAACAACCAGTACATCAACAAAGTTCGTCAACTGGAGAGAGAGTCCAAGGAGAAATCGGAGGCTATTCTGAAACTACAGGAGAAGAACTTTCATGCTGTTGTACAAACTCCAGGTCAGTAGGTCTAGAGGTGACATCTGTGCTCAGCTTAGCTTTTGCTGTTGAACTTTGTTGTTGCCGATGAAGTTGGAACTGCAGTTACCTGATCACCTAGCTGCAAATTTCATCATGTGATGAACAAACCAAAACAGAAACTAGAATGAGTTAGTTGAGAGTCTGGCTGTATGGGGCAGCAAAGACCAAACAGATCTTAGATACGACTGAGCTACCATATAACAGTATAAGATATTTGAATTCTAGACCTTCAGGTTGTTAGGCAGGAGTTTAGCCAACAAGCTCCATGATTCTCTTCTGTTATGCTGGCATAACCTAGTTCCTCCACTTGGGACCCAGTTTGTATACTCTCAACTCTCTTGCCATGGAAATGCCCACCCCCCACCCCCCACCAATTCAAATTATCAGCTCTTTCAGTTCCAAGAGGTGTTAGCTAATGTCTCAGGAAGTTAGCAATGACAGTAATAAACTCAGGTGTAAACTGCTTCTAGAAAGATCAAATATATATGTTGTTGAAGTGTGCATGTCCAAGCTTTCTTCACACACTGGGCCTGTCCGACACGCACACTTGCCAGGTGTCTAGGGCTGGCTCATGACGTCAGAGCTCATTATCCTCAGCTCTTGCTCAGCAGTAACATACAACTCTGAACAGAAGGTCAACCTTCATACATATGTACATTGTAGTAGCACATAGTCATGTGCATCATCATGATAAATTATAAACACAATACCAAAGTCATTCTTCCTTCTGCCCATGTAGACATGCGAGACGCTGCACTGAAGGACTCCTCCTGCCACACTATCCTCTAGTGGCTGCTACGAGCCATCACTACCCGATGAACTTTTCTGGATGTGTGTGTGTATATATATATATAAATATATGTGGTCCATACTCCCAAGGGACATAACCATTTACACTTTCATTATTGCTGTTGTTAGAGTTCTTTCGAGTGGCTCAGTAAACATCAGGTAAAAAACATAAATGACATGATGGCTTGTTTACCTGCTGAATTCCAAGTCAGGCATAGTGCCTTGTTTGCAACTGAAAGAGCTAAATAAACAGCCATTTTACACAGGTTGCTAACGGTAAAAATAAAAACATTTATTTACGTAAATTTTTACCTAAAAGTTGTTGGAACATATAAAGAAGAGGAATTCTTTAATACTAACAGAGTGAAGATTTACTGGATTTTATTCCGACAACCTACAAAGTGTATCAGGTGACTCATAATGAGACCCTGTGACCTCATTGGAATTCTAGCACTAAGGCTATGGGCAAATTAGGATGCCACAATGGCTTTAAAATAGTCAGTTTGCTCACAAGAAAACTCAGTGAATCTGTTTCAAGTAACTGCATAGCCTGATCCCCTGACCTCGCTGCTGGTTTGTTTCAAGCCTGAATCCTTGTTTTCTATGTTTGCAGGGGGCAGAAAGAAAACAGTTGCCTTCAGAAGACAGCGCATGGAGATAGACCAGGCTGTCCCAGAGAGTGATGGTTTTGGCTTCAAGGTAGAACTTAATGTCTGCTTGCACATCCATTTTACAGACCTGGCTTACTTATATGCAGACTGTTGGTGCCTCACCTTTCAGGCAGATGAACTTTGACTTTGTTGGAAAAAATGCTAGTTAGTCATCTTTTACAACTTGCTTTTTTAGGGAATCAGCCGTAGGGTCATTTTTACCCTAAAAATGGGGGAGGGGGAACCCACACAGAGAACATGATACCACAAATTAAGATTAGATCTGCATTTTTATCTCACCCATGCCATGGGATCAATCTGTCCAAAAATGTATCTCTTTGCTTTCCTCTCACTCGATTTCAGATTGCCAGTTCTCCCAAAGTTACATCTCCTCATAAAATGATCACGCATAAAATGGATTGACAGCATTAAAAAGCCTTAAAGAAAGGCAACAACAACAAATTAAAATAAAATGCACACAGGCGATCCTTACATCTCTTTTAACATCTAGACTCATTGAGGTATCTGAAGGAAGAAAAAGAAGATAAAATGTTTCCTTTTGGACTGCTTCATCTTGTTCTCTGCGTTCATTCACAGGGGCCGCATGTTTGCATTCATGAGCTGTTTCTGGATTACACTTGAAAGTCTTAAATTATTACAAGATGAGTGAAACATTTCTTGTCCTCTAGTCTGTGATCTAGCAAAGTCTGTGTTAATGTTCGGTCGGATGTATGTCAATGTTTGGTCGGATGTATGTCATCTACAGGTTGCCGATGCACGGATAGCTGAGCTAGAGGCAGCGGTACAGTCAGCAGCCACACAGAAGGAGATCACAGACAGAAAACTTCAGAGCTTCCGAGAACAGGTGAGTGTAGATTCAGTGTCTGCCTAACGTTTCTCCCTCTGCCTAACCTCTACTCTCAAAACAAATTCAATGAGTGTGTCAGTGTGTGGATTCTCTGTCTGTTCTGTTGCACTGATCCCAGAGAGGCTTCACCACGTAGGTTGTTTTCTTCTAAATCAGAGTGTGTCTGCATGAGAGGCCAGGCTGGTTAGTGCTCAGAACAAGAAGGTTATATTGTACCAGACTGTAGGGCTCTCAATATTCTTCTGTAAAATGTGTGCGTTATCTGTGACCTGACTTTTAGTGAGTGAGTTCTAGGGTTAGGTCTCTCAAGTGGTTGGTGTATCTGACGTAAAAAAAAATTTTAATATACTTTTGAGACAATGGTAAGAGAGTCATACCGTGGAAGCATTTATGGCCTCGTCACAAATTATTCCTATAGACAACAATTGGGTCACTGTAGCCAACCTTGGAGATGTCACATGAATGAACAACAGATAAAACTTCTGCAGCTTCCTGGTAATTGTCTGCTCTTTAACTGGTTGCCCATGATTCGCTTCGGTAACACTAAAAAAATAGTTCATGACTCTGTAGGAATTCTCCAGAACAAAAAAGTTGTTTTAAAACAATAATTTTACACAGATCACAAATTAAAAACAATGTACACATTAGATGTTCACATTAATTTTTACCTTAATTCTGATCCCAAAAATGTAAAGATACATAAAGGGAGTATTCAGTAAACATGAACAGAGCAAAGCATTAAGTGGAATGCATTTCCCTGGGGCCTAAACATTTATATATTGAGTGACTCATGATGTGACCCCATGACCTATATCACTGAGGCTTGAGGACAAGTGTTGCTTTAAAAAGTTCATTTGGTTTAAAGACAGCGCCCCCCCCCCCTCGTGCTGTTTTTAATATATTCACTTCCTGATCTCACAAACGTTTGCACCAAATAAACACAGCCAATAGCATTAACTTTACATCTTGTAAATACGTCACTTTAAAAAAACATTTATGGGGGGGGGGGAGGTGGGGATTAGCGTCACCCGGAATGGTTGGTTGTGGTTTCTGTTGACCACATTACCTACGGAGAGCCAACTGGTCTGCAGACAGATAAGTCTACCAACATGTGCCCTATATGCCACTAGGATAAAACAGGCTCGCCAACAGTAAACTCACACGGTTCTTGACAAATGACAGACAAAAGAGATTTTTTTATTTCATTGTTGATTCTCACTCTCCAAACTGTTACGTGTGTTAAACTGCTGTTCAATATGAGACATATGTTTTGTTTTCCCGTTCTATGAAGGGATTTGAATTGACAACCTTAAAAGTGTGATAGAAATTACAATAACCATGCTATTGACTTGTAACAACAATTGCCATTGGTGCATGCCATAAGTGGGGGTGATCATCTTTAAATTGTCATTATGACATCACCATGTTCATCACACCACACTGTCCTGTGCTTTACTTTCTTGACATCCTTGACAACAGTATTGACAAGTTACAAGGTAATGTAATTTCTTTCACACTTGAAAGGTTTGCATGTGAAGCCCCCACATAATTATGTATGCCAGAATCACAGCTGCTGTCAGGTTTTTTTTTTTTTTAGTAAAAGGACTCTTTTCAGGCTGTTGGCATATCCAATACAAGATAAGAGGAGAGGCTAGATCCATATTTGTTAATATAGACCATTCGACACTGCATGGGTCAGCCTCATGCTGGCCATCTTTACTTCCCAGGACATTTTCTGGTACCACTTTTAAGCTGGGTCAGCCTGGCCAGATTAATGCTACAAATCCCCCTTGGTGCGGATTTGAACTAAAGACCTTGAGGTCTAGCCTAACCACAGTGGCTGTGATACTCTTCCTATTAAAACGAATGCTAAACTTGACACTTTGATGTCAAACCAGTACTGCTGCATGAAGCAGTACTGATGGAGAACAGCTAAAACAGTTACTGAAAGTCTACATTGGTTAAAACTAGTGCCTGTCTAGAAAACAGGAAATTGAATTAGATGATAGATTTACTCCCATAAGCGCTCCTTCCCCATCTTCAACAGCAAGCGAAGAGTTCCAATTCCGATGGCACCCGTAGCCGTCTGATTGTTTATCCGTCTCATCCTTCCCATGAGTGTTAAGCGTCGGCCATATCCCCTGGTAACTCCTTGCAGCGCCATTCTCCTCAGACCTTAATGATCTTTCTGTGCATCCACACTGTTCACTCATTCCCAAAGGGCCCTCACAATATCTAGCTTGTCATACATCAATTCACTACCAAGTGGTGCAGAACCAGCCAGTCTATCTGCCTGCTCATTTCCTAACACACCGGCATGACCTGGAGAAAATATCCAAAGGATGCTAACTACCTGTTTTCACCTTTCTCAACACGCTCTGTGAGTCAGTTACAATCATGTGTGTACAGCTGATTCTCAAGCCAGCGGAAGGCTACAGAGACTGCCTTCATCTCCATTCTCAACTAGCTGTTGTGATATCATATGCCAGGCTTTGCTGCACTAAGCGACGTCCATTCGACTCTGCTATGAACCCCCATGCACTTTGCCTGCCCCTCAGCACAGAGCCATCTATATAGATAATCACAACCCCTGTGTTGGAATTGTCATGAATCATTTTTTGAACTTCTAATTCTGCGGCACCAGCTGGCCAGTCTCTGCATTACGATTAAAAGTGATTAGAACCCTACACAAATCTGAAACTTGTTCGGACACCTTGACCCACTCCTCTCCTCACTCAAATGTATCAAGCCTGCACACATGTCCAATTGTGTCTTCAGCTTGCGCCATCCAAGACCTTCCTCTTTTCAGTCTGTGACCCTTAGCTCTACCCAGGTTTCATGCAGGAGGTGCTTCTTGTCTGCAGCTAATGTGAGATACGATTTTGCCTGCAGAACTTTGAGCCTAACTGCAATAGTAGGTAGTGCAAGTATGTATTGCATACACACTATACACACTACCGGGGTATCTCTTGTACATCCCAGATTTTTTAAATTACGTGCATGGCTTCATTCTGTATGCGTTCAAGTTTTATTAGCGGACTCTTTGATATGGTAAACATTCCAAGTCCATAATCTATCACTGACATGATCACATGCTGAAACATTGTGAACAGCATTCTTTGTTCCATGTCTATTGCTGTCATAATCTTGAGAGCATTGAGTCCTTTTTGGCATTTCCCCGCAACTGCCTCCACGAAAGCACATGGAGAAGGGAGCTAGAAAGTGAAGTTAAAAAGATGGGGAGGACATTGGGTGAGCTGCATGCACTAGTGAAGATTAGAATGACTTGGTGGGAGTTGGTTGAGGGCCTGTACTCCATTGAGGGCTAGAAGGCAGAAGAACAAGAAGAAGGAAGACAACCAGCAAATGTTGAATTGGGACAGAATTCATATCTAGCTGTTGAAATAGTTGGAGCTGGTGTGGTATAGTGGCTAAACTCTTTGCCTGCTAGACAGACTGTCATGGGTTTGATTCTGCATCTGCAAAAATGCCTGGCTCCCAGGTCGAACCAGCCTAAAATGGGAACTAGGTAAAGTCCTGGCAACATCATCACCTACTGGGTATGGATCTGATATGGCCGATGAGCCACTGGCGTGAAAAAAGGTCATTGACCTGACTGACCTGACAATGAAATAGCACCATAGGTTTCACAAATGTCACTGTATTATCTAAGCGTAGGGCAAATAACAAACTAGTTAGTTCCCCTTTTGGGTCACCGGCCTCATTTTGAGAGAAACATTAGAGCAGACTGCTCCCCCCTCCCACAAGCATGTTGTACAGGGCGACTGATTAGTGATGTTTCCTTTGAAGTCTAGAGTGCATTTGTCTGAGAGGCAAGGAACCAACAGTCTGCATATAAATAAGCCAGATCTGTAAAAGCAGATGTGCACACAACACTCAAGTTCTTCTTTCATTTGCTTGAAATAAATTACCTATACCTGCAATGCTGTCTCTAGTGTGAACTTCACTGTCTTTTGTAGTTCACTTAGTGGCCGGTAAAGTTTGGCTTCCCTCAGTGTCTCTCTTGGCCAGAAGTTTTATATCTGCACACACATGCACTCATACATACACAAGCCCACATTTACACATGTGCATCCACACACACATTCACGCCTACATTCACACACATGTGCATCCACACATGCACTCATACATACACAAACCCACATTCACACACACGTGCATCCACACACACATGCACTCATACATACACAAGCCCACATTTACACACATGTGCATCCACACACATGCACTCATACATACACAAGCCCACATTTACACACATGTGCATCCACACACACATGCACTCATACATACACAAGCCCACATTTACACACACACACATGCATCCACACACACACATGCACTCATACATTCACAAGCCCACATTTACACACATGTGCATCCACACACACACATGCACTCATACATATGCAACCTCACATTCACACACATGTGCACTTACACACACATGCACTCTCATGCTTGTGTATACAGATATACATTCACACAAACACCCGCACACTCAAACATCCACATACATCACACAAGCATTCATACATACAGACGCGTGCCTAGATAAACACCCAAGTATTCCCACCTATGAATACACCACTTTCATACATACCCACACATTCACATACAACCATATATACAAACACTCATACATATCCAAGCATGCACCCACGCTCATACACACACACACACACACACGAGTACATATACACACTCATACATATCCATGCACACACCAACACCCATACATACACAAGGACCTAGTCATACACAGGCACCAAATGATTCACAAACACCCATATATCCCCAAGCTTTCTTACATAGAAGGCTGTCTAGCAGCAGAGTTCGTGTGTTTGTGAAGCTGACTAGTTCCTCTGTTAGTTTGGTTTCATATCTTTCCCTAACAGAAAAGGAAAATGATCAAACGAAATGCAGAGCTGTAAAACACTTAGGCCAACCATTGCAAGTGTCAATCTAGTTGCGTGTTTTTGTCTGCCTGCCAATCTGCCTGCCTGCCTGCTATCTATGCATTGTTCCCGTTGAATACATTAACACATTCTTAATCCCCTGCCACATACAAAGAGCCCCCTTAAAAGAAAGCGATATTGTAACAAAACCGATCGATAACGGCAGACGAAAGGAAATTTACAATAACCAAATATGTGAACTAGCGCCAGAACGAGGGAGTTTACCTGCTGTGTCCAGACATGCTCAGTACAAGCTGCTAGTCCACGGACGGCTTTCCTTCTGGGGACCCGGGGCTTTAGATCTCGGTTGCCGACCGTCACTGGTGCCACTTTCCGGCACAGCGGTGGGAGATCAACCTTCAGCAGTATTTAGTGTATGTATGTAAAGAATAGAAATGTATTTGCAATCGTTTTACGTGTTTGGTTTATATTGGGTTTCTTTAATTAATTTCCTACTGCAACAAGTTGTGGCAATATTAGTGCCATCAGACCAGTTTATCGATTAGGGTACGCTAGATCAGATTCGTTTTAGTTAGCGAAGGTTGTTCGTTTCTGCACAGCTGTGGTCCGTTTATGCGAGTTTCTGATTTGTCATAACTGAGCTGTAGTTACAGCCAGCAACAGTCGTGGGTATTGGTCAGTATATGTCAAAACCTATTTTTGATACCGGTGGTTTATCATAGATATTTGTAGATTTAGTTATAAATGCAACATCTTGTTAATAATTTAATTTTACTGTTGACTCCCTCCCGGTTCAAAACTTTGTTATGATAACGTTCTAGCGGTTGCCGTGTTAGGGCTTGCTTAGCAACCGTTGTACGGAACCGTATGTCGCTTTAAATCTGAAGATTTAAAATCAGTCTGTTATTAAAATCAGTCTGTTATTCTTTGTTTTAAGGACTGCGTCTGTCGGCATTGTAATGTCAGTTTTTGAAAACAGTTGTAATATGTACATCGCATTTAGATGTAATATGTGTGTTTTCCCTTTCCAAAGCTCTGACTTAATCTATCAAAGGTAGCGGGTTATTGATCTGTCTATCTGCACGTCGGTCCGTTGTATTTAGTGCGGTTTCATGGAAGGTAAATTATCTGCAGTGGATGCGTTATGACGTGACTCCAGCAAACTTACTTCCAAAATAATTATCCAGCTTTACTTTGAATGAGATAAGAGATTGTGTCAGCTGAAAAGTTGCAAATATTGCAGCTATGATGTAAGCAGGCACAACGCATTTTCGTCACTGGGACCAACAGTGGTGATGAATAAGAGGATGATGTATTGACAATCTAGCTGTGGGAGGGGGGGGGGGGGGGTAGGGTAGGGTGTGTCCTATGGCAATGGTCTTTTATCTCTTCAGTTTTCCTTAGGTGTAATGTGCTGAGTGCTCAGCTGTAAACTGATATAGCCATTGGAGCATTCTCATAAGTACTATGTCCTCATTGTCATCGGCAAGAAGAGTTCCAATTCTCATGCTAACAGTAGCAGTTGTTTTCCAAAGGTGTCAACATTTAGCTCTCCCTCACCCTGCTGCCTTGTTCATCACCTGTAGTGCTCCATTAACTCGCTCCAGGGGATTTAGCTTTAAAGGCCCAATGGGTAGTAATGCAATTTTGAAATGTCACAATTGTAAAACATTAATGGGTTTCTTTCTGTGCAAAGACATCTGTCTGCACAGATTCAACTGCGACGCAACAGACACATATTATAGATCACAGTGACCAGGGATTGTAGAGGAATAATATTAGAATACTGCTACAAAATGTCAAGGAAAACTTGATACAATTTATTAAAAATGTATCACAAATGAACATGAACCACTGAGTTGAATAAACACAATATAAACACAATCCGTCCATTAGAGGTCATTCCATAGAAACTTGTAGACATCATAACAGAGCACCACTTTTTGCTAAAGAAAACCAACCTCTGAAAACAATAGTATTTTTAACAAACAATTTACTGTACACCACACTCAGTGTGCCCATAATTTTATAGCCTGTGTTCCCAAATAATAAGGGTTTTGCACTAGACCTTTCTGACACTGCAGAATGTTGCCTTCATCCTTCTTCTTCTTTCGTTTGTTTGACATAGATTATTTATATCTACAATGTTGTTTCTAGTATGAACTTCACTGTCTTTTGTAATCCACTCAGCAATCCATAAAGTTTGACTTGCACTGATGTTTCTCTTGGCCAAAAGTTTTGCCTCAATATGTTGTATTTACCTTCATTAATATTTATTCTCTTTGTACCAGCTGACTTTGTTATCGTTGTACACTTTCTATAAGCTATCACTCATCAAAGTTTGACTCTATCAGTGACTGAAACAAGTCTACGTTGTAACTTTTTTGTCTAGCTTCGGTGAATCTGATAAACACATGTTTTATTTAAATATGAGGCCTCTAAAGTCATAAAACTTGTTGGCATGCCTGAAGAAGTCAGACTGGAGGCCATATTGCTTTCACACAGACACTTAGTTACTTGGTAAATCTCACAAACATGCTACATTTGATGCTTTTAACCACATTTTCAAATAAGCCTAATGGTCAATTTGTGTGACATTAAAGACTAGAACAAGAACTACCAATCAAAACTGCCAGTTTGCTTTGTTATACTGACCAGTAGGCGTGATGCCCGACTGGCCGTCCGGGTAGTAATCAATTAGCATATAATGCATTTCTTGGGCCTTAAAGAGTTAATAATTGTCTGCACACACGTGGGGTGTGGTGATGTCAGTGGCTGACATTGTTTACTGAGATAATCTCTAGCATATGTAGTCCATTGTTCTTCATTTATTCTTTCCTCCTTCTTTTTTATTTCCTCCTTTTCTCAGTCTTTTGAACTTATTCCCATTTGTCTTCATTTCAGCATTCCTTATTTTCTTGGTCTCTATTCTCTTCTACCCTACAACCCGAGCCCTTCCTTCCATCCCTCTTCCTTCATTGGTTTTTCTTCCATTTTTTCCATCAACCATTTCCCTTCCTTCTCTCTCTTTCTCTCCTTTGTCTTTTTAGTTTTTCACCTCAGCCATCCCCTCCTTCCCTCCCTTGCCTCTCACTTTCTGTCTTTCTTATTCAAGTCCATTATTCTATTCCATTCCTCCCATTTTGTCTTCTGTCCTTCTTTCACTGAGCCTTGTTCTTTTTAATGCTCACCGTTGTAAACTCCAGTGGAAGGTTCTGGTTGTTCATCCACTTCTAGACTTTGGTCTTGTTCTAGGACTTTAGTTTTGTATACTCATGTTTTACAGATATGACTTATTTGTATGCAGACTGTTGGTTCCTTGCCTGTCAGGCAGATGCATTCTGACTTTGAAGGAAACATCCGTCCATCTACATTAACCAGGCCCACAGCTGGGAGCCTATTTCTGGGATGACCACAAAGATGTTCTCACAGACGTCTTTGCACATTGGGCATGCCAGTGTGTGCTCAGTCCTCCCATGCCACTCTAAGATACCTCTACTGATTGTTCCCATGAGGAGTTGGTTATATCTTCTATCTTCTCAGTCACACAGTCGTGTTAGCATCAGTGTCATCATCCCCCAACAGCCATGCAGTTCCTTGGCATGAAGGAAGCACCTTGAACTTGGGGTGTTGATTATCAACTCCTTACATGTGTATATCGATGTGTGCCACTGATGTACAGTAGCAGTTCTTTCCCACCAGCCAGTGTTAGTTTTATAATATAGTAAACATGGGTACATTAATACACAAATATAAACATACAGATAACCAGTAATTCATACTTGCATGCATACACTTCTAATGAAGCACAGATCTAGTTTTTTCCAACTGGTCTCTCAAGCGGCTCCCTGTCGACTGTCTCCCCTGCTCTCTCAAGCCGCCCCCTACTCACTCACTTCCCCTCGCTTTCCCTCTCTTTCTCGTGTGGGTTCTCAATCACTCCCTGTCATCTGTCTCTGGTGGTCACGTTTGGATAAGCGTATCTTTAGTTGGACACGTGCATCGCGTTGCTCTCGGGCACTCGTCGACCTCCCTCTCTGTCGTATGTTTTCATCCTTCACTGTCAGATGTCATGGTTTTACCATGATAACCGCACTCAATTCAACTCTGGTCACCGTGCAGATGTTCTGTATCGCTGGTCAGGCCAGCTTTCTAATCACCCATTTCTGTCATGTCACGCAGTAATAGATTAGTATGCCTTGATGGTGGTCTGAAATGTATGCTTTATTCATTTAACCCCTTTCTGCCTATATTTCATTACAATATCCCTGCTGTAAAAAGTAGGCACATATATTGTAGAGGCAGATGTAGGAGAATTCACCAAGCAAAGATCTTGAGACGTTTATTGAGCACACAGAGTTGCATTGTTGCACACAGCCAGTGAACTTGGAGAAGAAGAAGTTGTGAGAAGGAGATCAGTCGATTGGCAAAGAATACACCAGTGTTGTTGATCCAAGTTGTTATGTCCCTATTCTGTTGTGTTTCTGACAGTTGTCTCACCGTGATGAGGAGATCAGTCGACTGACCAGAATGTTGGACGGGGGACGACCCAGCGATGTTGTGGCACTCCAGGCCAAGAACCGTGCCAATGAAAGGATGATCTCTCACCTGAACATTCAGGTGAGTCACTGTTGGTGCATCTCGCTGTCTCTTATTCTGCTTCATCCTGTTCAACTACATCTTCCTTGTATGGACTGACTATATTTCTGTCATGCATTCATATTTTTGTTGTTGTCCTTCTCTCCCTGCCTCCCCCATATCTGTGTCTGTCTGTTTGACTGTCTTTCACTCTTTCTGTTTTCCAAGATTACCTTCTCTTACCATCTTTCCTAATCTCAACACCAACTCTTCTTTCACTGTCACTTTTTGCTGTTTTTCTTACAAATCTGTCTTTCTTTCTTCTTCATTTTTTTTATTCTCTCACCTCCTTGTGCTCCCTTTTCCCTCTTTACTTTTTTTGAAATGTTCCCTCAAGCTCTTCACTCTCATCAGCCTCTCTCGTCTTTACTATCTTTTCATTGTTCCTTTATCTGACTTGGGTCAGTGAATAGACAACCGTACCTCTAGGATATCAGTTGTTGACATGGTCACTGTCGGAGGCCTGCAGTCAACAATAGTTTTCTGTGACATTTCCCACACAGATGGCTAGGGGCTTTCACTCTTGTCCGTTCAGTGATGACAAAATGCTTGAAACCTTTTCTAGGTGGACTACCTGCAGAACAAGAACAGGGAATATGAGCGCAAGCTTCGTGAGGTCAGCCATCAGCTGGACGCAGTCGAATCCAAGGCTAGCATCTACCAGAGCAAGAGTCAGGACCTGGAGAGTGCTCTCTCAGACAAGGAGAGGGTCACCAAAAAGTTGCAGACGGACAAGAACATTGTTGTTGAAGCTGCAGACAGGGAAATGAATGAGGCCAAGGTTTGTGGGTGAAGTTTTTGTTTAAGTATACGGTTAGTTTTGACATAGTGTATGCCTGTGAACTAGTTTTTGACAGGTGTATGTCTTTGAATTATTTTGACATGGTGTATGCCTGTGAATGATTTCTGACATGGTGTATGCCTGTGAATTAGTTCTGACATGGTGTATGCTGTGAATTAGTTCTGACATGGTGTATGCCTGTGAATTAATACTGACATGGTGTATGCCTGTGAATTAGTTCTGACATGGTGTATGCCTGTCAATTAGTTTTCACAAGGTATATGCCTTTGAATTAGTTCTGACATGGTGTATGCCTGTGAATGAGTTCTGACATGGTGTATGCTTGTGAATTAGTTCTGACATGGTGTATGCCTGTGAATTAGTTCTGACACGGTGTATGCCTGTGAATTAGTACTGACATGGTGTATGCCTGTGAATTAGTTCTGATATGGTGTATGCCTATGAATTAGTTCTGACATGGTGTATGCCTGTGAATTAGTTCTGACATGGTGTATGCCTGTGAATGAGTTCTGACATGGTGTATGCCTGTGAATTAGTTCTGAGATGGTGTATGCCTGTGAATTAGTTCTGACATGGTGTATGCCTGTGAATTAGTTCTGACATGGTGTATGCCTGTGAATTAGTTTTCACAAGGTATATGCCTGTAAATTAGTTCTGACATGGTGTATGCCTGTGAATTAGTTCTGACATGGTGTATGCCTGTGAATTAGTTCTGACATGGTGTATGCGTGTGAATTAATTCTGACATGGTGTATGCCTGTGAATTAGTTTCGACATGGTGTATGCCTGTAAATTAGTTTTGACATAGTGTATGCCTGTGAATTAGTTCTGACATGGTGTATGCCTGTGAATTAGTTCTGACATGGTGTATGCCTGTGAATTAGTTTTGACATAGTGTATGCCTGTGAGTTAGTTCTGACATAGTGTATGCCTGTGAATTATTTCTGACATGGTGTATGCCTGTGAATTAGTTCTGACATGGTGTATGCCTGTGAATTAGTTCTGACATGGTGTATGCCTGTGAATTAGTTTTGACATAGTGTATGCCTGTGAATTAGTTCTGACATGGTGTATGCCTGTGAATTAGTTCTGACATAGTGTATGCCTGTGAATTAGTTCTGACATGGTGTATGCCTGTGAATTAGTTCTGACATAGTGTATGCCTGTGAATTAGTTCTGACATGGTGTATGCCTGTGAATTAGTTTCGACATGGTGTATGCCTGTAAATTAGTTTTGACATAGTGTATGCCTGTGAATTAGTTCTGACATGGTGTATGCCTGTGAATTAGTTCTGACATGGTGTATGCCTGTGAATTAGTTCTGACATGGTGTATGCCTGTGAATTAGTTCTGACATAGTGTATGCCTGTGAATTATTTCTGACATGGTGTATGCCTGTGAATTAGTTCTGACATGGTGTATGCCTGTGAATTAGTTCTGACATGGTGTATGCCTGTGAATTAGTTTTGACATAGTGTATGCCTGTGAATTAGTTCTGACATGGTGTATGCCTGTGAATTAGTTCTGACATGGTGTATGCCTGTGAATTAGTTCTGACATAGTGTATGCCTGTGAATTAGTTCTGACATAGTGTATGCCTGTGAATTAGTTCTGACATAGTGTATGCCTGTGAATTAGTTCTGACATGGTGTATGCCTGTGAATTAGTTCTGACATGGTGTATGCCTGTGAATTAGTTCTGACATGGTGTATGCCTGTGAATTAGTTCTGACATGGTGTATGCCTGTGAATTAGTTCTGACATGGTGTATGCCTGTGAATTAGTTCTGACATGGTGTATGCCTGTGAATTAGTTTTGACATGGTGTATGCCTGTGAATTAGTTTTGACATAGTGTATGCCTGTGAATTAGTTCTGACATGGTGTATGCCTGTGAATTAGTTCTGAAATGGTGTATGCCTGTGAATTAGTTTTGACATAGTGTATGCCTGTGAATAAGTTCTGACATGGTGTGTGCCTGTGAATTAGTTCTGACATGGTGTATGCCTGTGAATTAGTTCTGACATGGTGTATGCCTGTGAATTAGTTCTGACATAGTGTATGCCTGTGAATGAGTTCTGACATGGTGTATGCCTGTGAATTAGTTCTGACATAGTGTATGCCTGTGAATTAGTTCTGACATAGTGAATGCCTGTGAATTAGTTCTGACATAGTGTATGCCTGTGAATTAGTTCTGACATAGTGTGTGCCTGTGAATTAGTTCTGACATGGTGTATGCCTGTGAATTAGTTCTGACATGGTGTATGCCTGTGAATTAGTTCTGACATAGTGTATGCCTGTGAATTAGTTCTGACATGGTGTATGCCTGTGAATTAGTTCTGACATAGTGTATGCCTGTGAATTAGTACTGACATGGTGTATGCCTGTGAATTAGTTCTGACATGGTGTATGCCTGTGAATTAGTTCTGACATGGTGTATGCCTGTGAATTAGTTTTGACATAGTGTATGCCTGTGAATTAGTTTTGACATGGTGTATGCCTGTGAATTAGTTCTGACATGGTGTATGCCTGTGAATTAGTTCTGACATGGTGTATGCCTGTGAATTAGTTCTGACATAGTGTATGCCTGTGAATTAGTTCTGACATGGTGTATGCCTGTGAATTAGTTCTGACATAGTGTATGCCTGTGAATTAGTACTGACATGGTGTATGCCTGTGAATTAGTTCTGACATGGTGTATGCCTGTGAATTAGTTCTGACATGGTGTATGCCTGTGAATTAGTTTTGACATAGTGTATGCCTGTGAATTAGTTTTGACATGGTGTATGCCTGTGAATTAGTTCTGACATGGTGTATGCCTGTGAATTAGTTCTGACATGGTGTATGCCTGTGAATTAGTTCTGACATGGTGTATGCCTGTGAATTAGTTTTGACATAGTGTATGCCTGTGAATTAGTTCTGACATGGTGTATGGATGAAGGGGCAGCCAGGATAGTAGTTAATGCAGATTGAATCTAGCTTTAAAGTCAAGAAGTTTATGTAAGCTTTTATTAAGTCTGGTTTGCTTTTTTTTGCTTGTTTGTCTGGTAAAGTGTTTGCACTCAGTTTGTTTAGTTTACAGTTTTGCTGTGCTCTGTGTCTAAAGGGATGACCATGAGATTAATTGCAGTAGTTTAGATCTGATTAAAGTTAATTACCCTTTTCATGCTATTGATACATCTACGGTTTTGGTGCTAGATCTGTATTTGAGGTAATGTCTATAACACGATGACTATCTTTAGTTGCCTGAATATTTGTGTGCACATTGGAGCCTTCTTCTTTTTTGTTTGTTCTTGTTGTCCAGGCCATGTAACTTTGGTAGTCATGGCTGTTTACAACAATCTTCTGTCTCCTGTCTTCTTATAATCTGTGCTGTGTGGTTGTCATTGCTGTTTACAAAAATCTTCTGTCTCCTGTCTTCTTATAATCTGTGCTGTGTGGTTGTCATGGCCGTTTACAACAATCTTCTGTCTCCTGTCTTCTTGTAATCTGTGCTGTGTGGTTGTCATGCCTGTCCACAATATTCTGTCTTGTGTACTTAACACTCAGTTCTGACATAGATGATCTTCCATGCCATGATGTCAGAAAGTCATCATTGTTCTAGATCGGTTATAAAGGTCTGCCTCAGCGCAGACTGGAACCCAAGAATTGTGGGCTGGCAGTTGACCATCTAGCCACTACACTGCTGTAGCTCTCCGCCCTGTCTGTACTGGATGTTAATGCTTGCAGCAGAGAAGTTTTGGACTGAGGAAGAAGAAAGAGAAGAAGAAGCAAGAAGAAAAAGAAGAGGCAAGAACACGAAAAAGAAGAAGAAGAAAAAAAGAATCTAAAAGAAGAAAGAGAAGAAGAAAAAGAGGTGGCATATAGAAGAAGAAGAAAAAGGTGAAACAAGAAGAAGAATCAAGAAGAAGAGGAAGAAGATGCAAGAAGAATAACAAGAAGAAAAAGAATTTAAAAAAAAAAAGATGATTCAAGAAGAAGCAAAAAATAAGTCAAAAAAAAGAGAAGAAAAAGCAGCAACAATGCACCAGTTGAAAAGCTTCTCATAGAAACCTTTCAGTGATTGTTAACCAGTTAATTCCACCAATGAAATATCTCCATTTGCTTAGAAAGCATTCATTGGATGTTAACATATTAACCTGCAAATGAAAATGTGTGTCTGTTCATTAACCATTTGTAAGCTGTTTGGTGGATGAACTGACCAATCAAGAAGCAGCTGCCATGTCATTGTTAACAGTTAGAGAAAATGTGATTGATCATATTAGACCAGATCCGATCAGACAATCTGGTTGCATACACTGACGGATCTAAGAATGAAGCAGGAGAAGTAGGAGCAGGAGTAATAATCCCACAGTGGAATATACAAAGAGAATATAAAATAACAGATCATGTGGCAGTATGCACAGCAGAACTAGTCGGCATAATGAAGGCACTAGAGATGGTAATTAATAAACCTCCAACTAAATTTACCATACTGACAGATTCATTGTCCTCGGTGCAGACGTTAAAAACACATAAAACTAACAGTAGACCAGATATTAAAGAGACAATCCTAAATCTAACAACTCAGCTCAAGAATAAAGGATGCCAAGTCACCATTGCATGGGTACCAGCACACAGAGGTGTAATAGGCAATGAAAAAGCTGACATAGCAGCCAAAAAGGGAGCAAAATGTGATGTTTTAATAGATGTAGGACTCGGAAAAACAGAAAGGACCAGCATAATCAAACGACATATAATTAAAATGTGGAAACTGCAATGGCAAGGGAGCAATAATGGCAGAGATGCCTACAATAACCTTAAAGAGCCCAGCCTTAACACACAGGTACGGGACAAACTGAAAATTCCAGCTAACAAACTACTATGGAGAGCTAGATTAGGGTGGCACCCAGAGAAATTTACATCTCCACTATGTCTGGACTGCTTTCAAGATAATACTCTAGAGCATTATATAATAAACTGCACTAAATATAAATTGGAAAGGAAACCCATTGAGGAGTTTTTTCTAAAACGCAAACAACAAATTACTGCAAACAAATGTTTAAATGTAGATAGCAATAAAGACATCCAAAAACTGGTTAAACAATAACTTATTAAAACAAATCAAAACTAAAAAGACCAGATTAGGGATTTACTCAGTATAACAGAAGGAACTGATGAGATGGTAACCCCGGACATCCTAGAGTCAGAGAGATAGTGTAAGAATAATGAGTGCATAGATGTGAACATGGACACATACACAAGGATGAGTGCGTGTAGTATGAGTGCATTTGTGTATAGGATGGATACATAAGACACAGTGTATGTAGGTGGATGGTACGGAATCACGTGTGGACGGAACAGTGGGAATATAGTTGTGCGAAAGGTACAGATGAATGAGTACATGAATTTAAATGTATTACTGTATGCATGTATATGTGGGTATGAGTGTACATGTGTGTATATATATGAAAACGTGTATACTTATATATTTGTGAGTGTACGAATGACAGTGCAATCAAAGAAACCATAAACTGTGTTGCTGTATGTCTGTACATTAATGAGAACAAATGGAATGAAGGGTGTAAGCAGCAAGAACGTCATCAACGCACACCATCCACCAAAACATGACACGTCAGTACCGGACAGGTCACATACCAGTAACGGGACATAACTTAAAAGTGACATGACCAGACGAAAAGACATGGAAGAGTGAATATCACTACGTGTGGATGTACTCGTTTTTTTATGAATGTAAGTACAGGCATTGGTAAACGCATATGAAAGAGTTGGCGTGTGTACGTAATGTCAATTAGGTATGCATACACGGATAAGTATGAAAGGACGTACAAATATGTAGTTGTGTTGTCAGGTATGAGTACTCGAGTGCATGTACGCATACACCTAGTTGGGTGCGTCCATATACTCCGGGGATTCATAAACAAAACCATCCCACTCCACAGCATGCATACAACATGCACATGACCGACAGGACTCATAACAAAAATATGACTGACAGCGAATAGGGAATACAAGGGACTCGATAATGACAGGACTAGAACGCATAACCTCAAATACCACCACATCACTGGGATGATAGCAAAGGTTGGTAACGTGATACACATAGTCCCGGCAAAAAGCCACGCTAGAATCCAGCAAGACGGCAACGACGAGAATTGACTGAATGGCCTCCCGCTCCCCTTCCCCCCACCTTTCCCTAACTCTTTCGGATGCACTATGAGTTTAACCCCCCAACCCATTCCCACAGAGAGCACTTGAGTTCGTTGCCCAACATGCCACAACAATTCTCATCGCCGATCATTTGGATCTCAAAGCGTGAGCTGGACGGTCCGGTTATATGGTATTTACGTACACCGGAGCTTAGCTATCAACACAACCTGATCACATAATAACAAATGACGACTGGACCCGCTTAAGACTCCACACAAACTCTCACACACATATCCATTACATGACTAACCCGTTCATATTACAGGAAGACAACTATAAGACCACTATGGTCACACGCGGAAAATTTTCACATTTCGGAACTATTCACATTCAAAAACTGTTTTCAGTACTTTTTGGCAAAATTAAAATACTCAAAATTTTAAAACAATAAATGGTGGCCGAAAGGTCGTTGTGTTTGGAAGCTCGCTCTCCTTCGAGATACGCCTAGCCAGATCAAAGGGAGACAGAACAAACAGGAAACACCAAGAATGAAGAAGGAAGACATGCACCAGTGACAACAGGACGAGCGGTTTGATTCGGATGGAAGCATTAAGCCAGAAATGGCACAAACACCAGTATTCAGTCACGAAAGTGACGCAAATAACCCAGACCACAAATATAGGCGGAGACTGTTAGCAGCCTAGGCTAGCTAGCAGCAGTCTGAACGTGGTCGAGCTTTTATTTTTTTTTCTCAAAAGGACTTGGACTTGGACTTGATCATATTTGTTATCTTTGATCTTTAGATTGATTGTGATCTTATCTGCAGGATGAGTTGGAGAAGTCACGCCACGAGCTAGAGGACATGGATCTGACTGTTGCCCAGCTGAGAGCAGTAAGTGGTCAGTCTTTACTTCCGGTTTCTCATGTTGCTCATCTGATTGACTGCCCGACTAGCTCAGACATTAGAGCTTTTGCCATGTTGTTTGAGCCAGTTGAATTGGTCACAGGTAGTTAATTGCAGTTCCAGCATCATAGTAAACCGGTCACCTTACAGTTGCTCCTTTCCTGTTCCAACAAAAACCGCAGAGAATGGCTATCACTGTCCATTAGGGGAAACAATTGCTGTAGACTGCAGTCTCAGCAAATCCAGTAGCATACAAATTCATTAAATGCATAGGGCAGCTGTCAGAAGTGCCACCAGAACAGCCTGACACAAGAAATGCAGTTCATTGTCAGTGCAAGCAACAGTTACAACAGATCAGCAGTTACAACAGATCGGCAGTTGCAACAGTTGCTCAGTTAATCACATAAAGCATCACCAGCTATCTGGCAACAGGCCAGTCACTATTTTCTGAATCTGCAGTGTACAACACAAAACACGTTTGGCAGGATAAGCATTCCAAGAAATCTGCAGCTCACAGTGTCATGCCATGCATTCTGCTTAGTTGCTGGATGAAGAAATTAAATCCTTTAAGTCATTATATGGTGAAAAATGCAGTGACTAACTATTGACAGAAGGAAAAACTTGCCATGTGCTGATGAAGGCCCAGTAGCCGCAACGTTTCCGTGTTGTTTGTATTTGTTATATTGTGAAGCTTGCTAATATACTTCGGTTTTGATATCTTTTCTTGATCTTATCTTTCAGGAACAGTCCAGGCTGGTAAAAGAGCTGGCAGATCTCAAGGCACATCTGGCAACCAGGGAGGCTGACAATGTCCGCCTGGAGGGATTGGTCGACCGACTCAGTGAGGAGAAAAAGAGGCTGGGCCAGAGAGTGAATAAATTAACAGCAAATGGTAGGTGCTTTAAAAAATTGTAAGTTTTTGATTGTTGGGTAAAAAAAATTGTAGACAGTATAATTTATCTTAGAATGGAGTTAGAAAAGATTAGTTACCACAGAAAGAAGATGTCTAAGAAATGATGCAGCAGTGACCAGAAAAAATGGACCAGGAGTGAACACAAATAGACCAGGAGTGACCAGAAGAAAGGATTGCAGGAGTGACCAGAAGAAATGATTGCAGGAGTGACCAGAAGAAATGATTGCAGGAGTGACCAGAAGAGATTAAATCAAGGGTGAAGTTGTAAAAGAAAAAAAGTCGGCATAGAACCAATTCTAAAGAACACACACAGACAGCAAATAAAATGATTTGCACTCTTAGAGAGAATGCCTGGTGGCGCCCGACCCTACAAGGCATGTACCAAAAGAGGAATGAACGAACGAACGAACAAACTTTATTTTTCAAAGGGTTACAAATTGGGAACGCAGGCCCGTCTGACATTCGGCCCTTCTAAGCACTCATTTTTCAGAGTACCAATACCTGTTATCAATAATGCATGTTATGGATATAATACAGAAATATAAATTATAGAATAATGCATACACACATCATGTGTACACAATCGTACAAACTCACACACACGTATACATACCCCTACATTCTCATACATGCACACTCATATACAGACATACGTAGTACATACACACACTCATCTACATACACACTCACATCTACATACATACACAAACATAAAACACATACATCTCTCTACGGAGAGAGTCTTAGAGCATGGTTTAGATCAAACAAGATGGAGCGATAACATCAGAGAATCTCTACAAAATTAAATTGCGTCTGGTCAAGGCAGCCAAAAGAGCAATAAGTGGAACCTTTATATCTCCCTTGATATGTAGCGGTACAAGAGCAATAAGTGGAACCTTTATATCTCCCTTGATATGTAGCGGTACAAGAGCAATAAGTGGAACCTTTATATCTCCCTTGATATGTAGCGGTACAAGAGCAATAAGTGGAACCTTTATATCTCCCTTGATATGTAGCGGTACAAGAGGAAGAAGATTAAGAGAAGTCTGAAGCATTTTATTTTATGATTCTAATCTAGCACATATTGGCTTCTCCGACAGAGAAATTATGAGAGAGCTTGAAATAGAAAGCTTAAAAGTGTGAACGCTGCTCCTCTTTGGTGCATGTAAGAAGTGGGACGGCCAACTTTAACTGTCATTATAATGTCACCATGTTCATATTCACCGTTATGTGCATGGTACTGTGTTTCCTGTAACACTTTAGAGGTGTTCCTCTGAATTCCCCTGGTATGTGATGAGTATGTAAAAAGTGCAAATCAGTGTTTTTTACCCCTTGATGTGTGATGAGTGTGTAAAAAGTACAAATCTATGTTTTTTGTCCCTGGTATGTGATGAGTGTGTAAAAAGTACAAATCTATGTTTTTTGTCCCTGATGTGTGATGAGTATGTAAAAAAGTGCAAATCTGTATTTTTTACCCCCCTGATGTGTGATGAGTATGTAAAAAGTACAAATCTGCATTTTTCGTCCCTGATATGTGATGAGTGTAAAAAGTACAAATCTGTGTTTTGTACCCCCTGATATGTGATGAGTAAGTTAAAAGTACAAATCTGTATTTTTTACCCCTGCACACAATAGGGCCCTAGAACCCACACAGGGGATATAGCACATACAAATTGACCAGTGAGAAGTCAGACTTGCTGTATTGGATTCATTCACTGAGTTTGTCTTGTGTTTACAGAAAAAGAGCTGGTGCTGGAGATAGAAAGACTAAAGAAGAAGAACGGGCCGTTGAAGAAAAGCAAACTGCCCAGTAAACTGGACATGTTTATTCGAGGTATAGAAGAGGATAGGGACTACTATAAAGCCCAGGCTGAAGATCTGCAGGTGAGGTGTCATGTTCTTAGGTGCTGGCTGCAACTGTTCTCTCTCTCTCTCCTCTCCTGTACCACTACAAGGTTGCCATTGAAGTGTTTCATGTCATTTTTTGTTATTGTTGAAGTTCAGTGGTACCTCGGGTCACAAACTTTGTTCTTTTTCGGGGTTTGCGAACCAAAATGTTCGCAAACTGAAACAGTTTTCATTATTGAAATGATAGCAAATCCATTTACTCGGTTCGCTGTAAATCCTGCCCCAGAAACATACTTTTTCTTTTTTTGTTGTTTTGTTTTTTGTTTTACTTTTTATGGATTTATGTGTGGCAGAAATATATAATATAAAATATACATTATAAGGTCTGACAATGGTATAACTTTATGTTAGTTGCTGGTGGTTGCTGGCACAGGTAGATGGTAGAGGAGGAGGAAGACGACTACCCCTTCGAAGGAGAGTCCAGTTCTATAATTCTTCTTCTTTGATCACTGCTTATAAGCTGCGGCAGAAAGTCCTGGTTGTTCGTCCGTTTGGACTTTGGCTTTGTGCCAGGGCCTGAGTTTTGTGTGTACATCCGTTTTACTGGCTTATTTGTGTGCAGTTGTTTGTTCCTTGCCACTCAGGCAGTTGCACTCTGACTTCAAAGGAAGTCCCCCATTAGTCAACTCCTACAACGTAGTTGTTGAGGAGGCAGTAGGTCTATTCTTGTTTTCCCCAGATTGGGCCCTGAGAACCACATAGGGAAATTCCGTGATAACATCGGGCAACTGTATAGCAATTTCTGATGTTTTTTATCCTGTTTGCATCCTAGGAAGTTGTTTGATTGCTGACTCCGTGGCTGGTGTTTTCACAAGATAATGATCCAGAGACATTTGTCTTTTTCTTTGTTGGATCATTTTTCAAAACTGGGACATCATATCGTCATTTAAAATGTCCGCTGCTTTGCTGGTCTCACTTTTGTTAACATGATGCTTTTTAATGCAAACCTGAACTTGACTCCACTTGCCACACATTTCTTTGATCTCAGCACTCAAAACATGAACCACCTCTTCTGGTCCTCCACCACATCCCCCTTGTTGCCCCCTAAGCAGACTTAAGTATAGGTGATGCTGTTTGCGAGCCGTAAAGATGGAGTCGAAGCTGAGTTTGCGTGTTTGTGTGCTGAGGAATCGGTTCACAGGTTGAGTCAAATTTTGTTGGTGGAAATTATGTTCATGGGCCAATTTGTTTGAGACTAGACCATTTCTGTGAGTTATCTTATTCCTGAAGTATTTCATGTTTTCTGTATCATTATCTCTGAATTGTCTTATTCCTGAAGTATTTCATGTTTCCTGTACCACCATCATGGAATTTCATGTTTCCTATATCATTATCTCTGAATTGTCTTCTTCCTGAAATATTTCATATCTATTATATGCCACTGTATGATATTATCATGGAATATTTCATGTCTATCCTATGCCACTGTATGATATTATCATGGAATATTTCCTGTCTATTCTATGCCACTATATGATATTTCATGTATATTCTGTGTCACTGTAAGATATCATCATTGAAATATTTAATATGTATCTTGTGCCATCGTATGATGACATCTACTGTAGTATCTATGATGTTATCATTGAAGTATTTTACATTATCATTACATTCACTGTAGTATTTTCTATAACGGTATGATGTATTGTTGTATTTCAGGCACTACTAAAGGGAGAAATGCCAAAAGCAGTCACCAAGTCCAATCTGCGCACCCGCTCGGCGTCATCCTCTAGAACCCAGAGTCCAGCCAGGAAGGAGACACTCGCCAAGACAAAACGGGTACTGCTCTCTTTTTATTCTAGGGCTTAGATATTGTAAGGGTCTTTTAGGAGTGAGTAGACAATAAGGAGTGAGTAGACAATGGGGGAATGAGTAAGCAATGGGGAGTGAGTAGACAATGGGGAGTGAGTTGACAATGGGGAGTGAGTAGACAATGGGGGAATGAGTAAGCAATGGGGAGTGAGTAGACAATGGGGAGTGAGTTGACAATGGGGGAATGAGTAAGCAATGGGGAGTGAGTAGACAATAGGGAGTGAGTAGACAATGGGGGAATGAGTAAGCAATTGGGAGTGAGTAGACAATGGGGAGTGAGAAGACAATAGGGAGTGAGAAGACAATGGGGAGTGAGAAGACAAGGGGGAGTGAGTAGACAATGGAGAGTGAGTAGACAATGGGGGAATGAGTAAGCAATGGGGAGCGAGTAGACAAAGGGGAGCGAGTAGACAATGGGGAGTGAGTAGACAATAGGGAGTAAGTAGACAATAGGGAGTGAGTAGACAATGGGGAGTGAGTAGACAATAGGGAGTGAGTAGACAATGGAGAGTGAGTAGACAATGGTTGAATGAGTAAGCAATGGGGAGTGAGTAGACAATGAGGAGTGAGTAGACAATAAGGAGTGAGTAGACAATGGGGAATGAGTAGACAATGGGGAGTGAGTAGACAATGGGGAGTGAGTAGACAATGGGAAGTGAGTAGACAATGGGGAGTGAGTAGACAATGGGGAGTGAGTAGACAATGGGGAGTGAGTAGACAATGTGGGAATGAGTAGACAATGTGGGAATGAGTAAGCAATGGGGAGTGAGTAGACAATGGGGAGTGAGTAGACAATGGGGGAATGAGTAAACAATGGGGAGTGAGTAGACAATGGGGAGTGAGTAGACAATGGGGAGTGAGTAGACAATGGGGAGTGAGTAGACAATGGAGAGTGAGTAGACAATGGGGAGTGAGTAGACAATGGGGAGTGAGTAAACAATGGGGAGTGAGTAGACAATAGGGAGTGAGTAGACAATAGGGAGTGAGTAGACAATGGGGGAATGAGTAAACAATAGGGAGTGAGTAGACAATAGGGAGTGAGTAGACAATGGGGGAATGAGTAAACAATGGAGAGTGAGTAGACAATAGGGGAATGAGTAAACAATAGGGAGTGAGTAGATAACAGGGAGTGAGTAGACAATGGGGAATGAGTAAACAATAGGGAGTGAGTAGACAATAGGGAGTGATGCTCAACACTCAGAGGAGGGGAGGATACAGACATAGAAGCAGCAGATCTGGCTGATGTTCAACACTCAGAGGTGGGGTGAGACAAACATACAAGCAGCAGATCTGGCTGATGTTCAACACTCAGAGGTGGGGTGAGACAGACATACAAGCAGCAGATCTGGCTGATGTTCAACACTCAGAGGTGGGGTGAGACAAACATACAAGCAGCAGATCTGGCTGATGTTCAACACTCAGAGGTGGGGTGAGACAAACATACAAGCAGCAGATCTGGCTGATGTTCAACACTCAGAGGAGGGGATGAGACAGACATACAAGCAGCAGATCTGGCTGATGTTCAACACTCAGAGGAGGGGATGAGACAGACATACAAGCAGCAGATCTGGCTGATGTTCAACACTCAGAGGAGGGGATGAGACAGACATACAAGCAGCAGATCTGGCTGATGTTCAACACTCAGAGGAGGGGATGAGACAGACATACAAGCAGCAGATCTGGCTGATGCTCAACACTCAGAGGAGGGGATGAGACAGACATACAAGCAGCAGATCTGGCTGATGTTCAACACTCAGAGGAGGGGGTGAAGATAGCTGAAGATAGGGGCAGAGTACTTATGGGACTGTCCTCAGTGCAATGATGTCAGTTGTTAACTCATAACTCTTCTGGACCATTTTATCTCTCACTGGAGCATGAGCTGGGAAGAACTCATGTTGCTGATTAACTGGAGCATGAGCTGGGAAGAACTCATGTTGCTGATTAGTAGGATTTTCTGTATGATTAAAAGTATTAAAATAAGATGTTACCACCATATAGCTGGGAAATGTAGTCACGTAGTGACGAGAGCTTTCTTTACAGCGTAAAAGTTTAGGGTTTAATTCTGCATTGAGACTTAAAATGGGGGCCAGGTAATTACTAGGGAAGTGAAGGCAGCCAGTAGGGTGCTTACCACATCTCCCACTGAGCGCTGATTGGTCGGTAAAAATACAGGCATGGCAGCATATACCTAAAAGCAAGAAATGTGATCTTTACTTTTAACTTACTGACCAAATATCTAACACGCCTGTAGGCAAGAAAATGATCCTGTTTTGTTTTTCACTCAGTCAGGCAGTAGCATGTCCTTTGCATTACCTCGCTTCCATAACAATCCACTGGAAAACTTCTTGATCACAAGCAAGATATCCTGCATCCGCTACAGCCATTTGGAGATCGTCCACCATATCCTGCACCCATCTTCTCTTTGGCCTTCTTCTTCCTCTTTTGCCAGGCATATACCCCTCCATTATTGTTTAAAGTGACCAAAATATTTTTCATTATTTTGTTTTTACTTACGATAAATTTCAGTGCATAAGTTTTTAAGCCTAAAATATCTGCGAATTTTGAATTAATAATTCAATAATTCTCCAACACTAACTGTTGTATAGTATTTCCTAAATGTTGCTATTGTATATTCTGAGTTTTGTCTTTAAACCAAGTGCCTTTGACCTCAATATGTTGTTAATTATTGCAAATGCTTTGTTTATTCTTGCTGTTACATCCTTTTGAGAATCTCCATCTAGTCTACCTTTCCTTACACTATATATACTTTTTTTTTCCTTTAAGCGTTCACCGGCTGTAAACTCCAGCGCAAACTTCTGTTTGATCAACCATTTCTGGACTTTAATATTTTGTCAGAACTTCAGTTTTGCGTACACATCCGTTTTACAGATCTGGCTTATAAGCAGACTGTTGGTTCCTTACATCTTAGGCAGGTGTGCTCAGATTAGGAGGAAACATCCATAAAAAGTTGCTTTTTACAACATGCATGTAAGGGGGCAGTGGGTCGGATCTTTTTCGCCACAGTGGACCCCTGAAACCCACACAGGACTTGATACATAAACTCTCAATATTCTGTAGCTGACTCATATTTATCTGTTGTTGATATCTCTGCCTCTTCTGACAGGACATTGCCCAGTACGAGGCTATCATCCGTGTGCTTGAAGATGAGAAGAATTATTACAAGAAAGAATACGAGGCTTTGAAGGCGGCACGTCGATCTGCCTCTCCGGTTAAAATAGTTGCAGCCAAGGTAAGGTGAAATGGTGGAGGTCTGTCTCCTCACACAGAAATCTTGCTGTTTGTCTTTGTAATGATTATGTGATTTTTTGGCATATAATTGATTTGATTTTTGCTTAATTAACCAGTCTATCAGTGATGGATAACTCTTTTTCTCAGTGTTCACTGGCTGTAAACTCTAACAGATAGTCATGGTTGTTCATCCACTTCTGGTGTTTGCTCTTTTTATTTGTGTGCAGAGTGTTGGTTACAGGCCTTTCAGGCAGAAGCACTTTGACTTTGAAAGGAACACTCCTGATTGTCACCTTATATGAAACGTTTGTTGGGGGGGGGGGGGGGGCAGTGGAATTATTCTGGTTGCCCCTAAATGAGGCCTGTGAACACACATATGGTGGGTGTGTGAATGATAAACATAAGATTAATGTATGTACTTTTGTTTCTTTGATTATAGCACAGCCTCTGATTATGTCCAGCATTATAAATTGAGGAGTGTCATGAGAAGTATGAGGTTTCAAGCCATTTGGTCCATTTAATTGAAAAATTTATATCATGAACAACAAGTAGCCATCAATAGCAGTTGGTGTAACATTGGACTGGTTTGAGGTGCGAAAGGGAGTGAGGCAGGGGTGCATTCTCTCACCATACCTATTCAATATATATATATATACAGAAAACCTAATGAGAAATGTCAAAAGTAACCAGACTTGTGTCAAAAGTAACCAGACTTGTGTCAAAAGTAACCAGACTTGTGTCAAAAGTAACCAGACTTGTGTCAAAAGTAACCAGACTTGTGTCATCAGTAACCAGACTTGTGTCAAAAGTAACCAGACTTGTGTCAAAAGTAACCAGACTTGTGTCAAAAGTAACCAGACTTGTGTCAAAAGTAACCAGACTTGTGTCAAAAGTAACCAGACTTGTGTCAAAAGTAACCAGACTTGTGTCATCAGTAACCAGACTTGTGTCATCAGTAACCAGACTTGTGTCAAAAGTAACCAGACTTGTGTCAAAAGTAACCAGACTTGTGTCAAAAGTAACCAGACTTGTGTCATCAGTAACCAGACTTGTGTCATCAGTAACCAGACTTGTGTCAAAAGTAACCAGACTTGTGTCAAAAGTAACCAGACTTGTGTCAAAAGTAACCAGACTTGTGTCACTTGTGTCATCAGTAAGACTTGTGTCAGAGTAACCAGACTTGTGTCAAAATAACAGTCAAAAGTAACCAGACTTGTGTCAAAAGTAACCAGACTTGTGTCAAAAGTAACCAGACTTGTGTCATCAGTACTTGTGTCAAAAGTAACCAGACTTGTGTCAAAAGTAACCAGACTTGTGTCAAAAGTAACCAGACTTGTGTCAAAAGTAACCAGACTTGTGTCAAAAGTAACCAGACTTGTGTCAAAAGTAACCAGACTTGTGTCAAAAGTAACCAGACTTGTGTCATCAGTAACCAGACTTGTGTCAAAAGTAACCAGACTTGTGTCATCAGTAACCAGACTTGTGTCATCAGTAACCAGACTTGTGTCAAAGTAACCAGACCAGACTTGTGTCAAAGTAACCAAAAAAGTAACCAGACTTGTGTCAAAAGTAACCAGACTAAGTAACCAGACTTGTGTCAAAAGTAACCAGACTTGTGTCATCAGTAACCAGACTTGTGTCAAAAGTAACCAGACTTGTGTCATCAGTAACCAGACTTGTGTCAAAAGTAACCAGACTTGTGTCAAAAGTAACCAGACTTGTGTCAGTAACCAGTAACCAGAACCAGACTTGTGTCAAAAGTAACCAGACTTGTGTCAAAAGTACCAGACTTGTGTCATCAGTAACCAGACTTGTGTCAGTACCAGACTTGTGTCAAAAGTAACCAGACTTGTGTCAAAAGTAACCAGACTTGTGTCAAAAGTAACCAGACTTGTGTCAAAAGTAACCAGACTTGTGTCAAAAGTAACCAGACTTGTGTCATCAGTAACCAGACTTGTGTCAAAAGTAACCAGACTTGTGTCAAAAGTAACCAGACTTGTGTCAAAAGTAACCAGACTTGTGTCAAAAGTAACCAGACTTGTGTCATCAGTAACCAGACTTGTGTCAAAAGTAACCAGACTTGTGTCATCAGTAACCAGACTTGTGTCATCAGTAACCAGACTTGTGTCAAAAGTAACCAGACTTGTGTCAAAGTAACCAGACTTGTGTCAAAAGTAACCAGACTTGTGTCATCAGTAACCAGACTTGTGTCATCAGTAACCAGACTTGTGTCATCAGTAACCAGACTTGTGTCATCAGTAACCAGACTTGTGTCAAAAGTAACCAGACTTGTGTCAAAAGTAACCAGACTTGTGTCAAAAGTAACCAGACTTGTGTCATCAGTAACCAGACTTGTGTCAACCAGACTTGTGTCAAAAAGTAACCAGACTTGTGTCATCAGTAATCCAGACTTGTGTCAAAAGTAACCAGACTTGTGTCATCAGTAACCAGTTGTGTCATCAGTAACCAGACTTGTGTCAAAAGTAACCAGACTTGTGT